ATACTTAGGTTTGGTAATCTAAACAATTAATTTGAAGACAACATTATGCAATATAAAAACTATTGCTGAATTCCTCCCCCCCAAAAAAATGAGAATAAACTCCCAGACCTTCACCTAATGTAGGGTGATTTGAAGGGTTAAGTGAGACACCCCCCCAAAATGGTAAGGAAAGAAAAGGACAGCAAATGTTGGCTCACGGGAAATGGGAAATGGTGGCAAAGCTCCTTACAGAGATGGGGCAGTAAGGGGAGCCAAGGGAGGGGCGGGTGCAGGCCCTGTCCTTGGGTGGCTCCTGGCTTGCTCAGGAGGTGAGTGTCTGCCAGGGGTGGCAAGGGTGAGACTGGGAAGACAGTGTCTGGGAAGCTGGCAGAGAACTCGCCCCTAAAGCTGCATCCCCTTGCTCCTGAGCCATGTGTGAATCTCAGCCCTGCCACCACCTCCCTCGCTGCAGGGCATCTCCCTGTCTCTTCTCCCTCTGTTCTGGTGCTTCTGACACCGGCCAAGCTGTGTGTCATTGTTAACATGAGCGCGGTCCCCTTTTAAGATCTGGCGTCTGCCCCAGGCCCTCTGCTCCCTGCAAGCACAAGTCCAGGCCCTTGTAAAGACGCCCAGCACTCTGCACGCACCCAGAGTACAAAGCCTGGCTCAGTGTTTTTGTCTTTTCAGGAGTCCTTTCCCATCTACTGAAAGCCAAAACAAAAAGCAGCATTGTGCATCTCCGATAACAAAAGGGCTTCGGCGCAGCGCCCAGTGATAACACAGCAGCGGCTGCACCAACTCCTTTGTGTGCTCCAGAGCCTGAAAGCAGGGCCCACTGTGCTCAGGGTGAAGCCCAGGTGTCTCGGCGCTGCCCACAGCATCCTGCACAGCATGGCCCCAGCTCACCACTGTGCTACATACACCCGGGGGCTCTACTGCCCCTTCTGCCCAGAGCCAGTTTCCAGCTCTATGTGGCTAACTCCCAGCAAGCCAAACCGGCTGGAGCTCCCAGAGTGCATCCATCGCTCCTGGCTGCAGGCAGGCACCTCACAGGGCTACTGCTCCTGTTTTCCTGCCTGTCGGCAGTGCCCAGAGGGTAGGAATCCCTTTGTGGTGGTAAGCAGTCTATGTTGCAGTCCCAGGGATGGTACGGGTGGTCATGGAGAAGAGCAAAGAATCCCAGCCCCAGCTCCTGTCTACACTGTGTGACTACTTTGAGTCTCTGGGCCTCCCCTCCCATTGGAGAAATCATAGTCTCATGGA